CACACACACACACACACAGGTTTGTTTTGCTATCTTTGTGGGGCCTTTGCATTGACTTCCATTCATTTTTCATTCATTTCTATAGCCTAACCATGACCTTTATCCATAACCTAACCATTACCAGTACATACCTAACCCTAAACCTAACACATCCTCAATTCACACCTTAGTCCTAAACCTAGCCCCTAACCCACCAACGGGACTTCTTCTTATGGGGCCCTGGCTTTGGGCCCCATAAGGAGCAGTTGGTCCCCACAATGTAGTATAAGTTGGAAAAATAGGCCTCACAAAGTAGCATAAACAAGGACACACACACACACACACACACACAATTTAGTCTTACAACAAGTCTTGGAGCCTAAAGCCAGTACCTCACTCTGCTGCACTGAATTGCAAACTGCACTTTTGGAAGGAAATGCAGAGAATCTGAATCTGAATCTGAATCGCTTTCTACGAGTCACAAGACCACATATTTGTGTCACATAAGTTGTGAGTATGTCAAAAAAAAAAAAAAAACAGCAACACAAGTGCCAAGTTTTGTATAAAGTAGTTATTTGAGCAACATATGAAAACTATAAAGAGGGTGGTGACGACATTGTGACCAGCTGTGGACAAAAAATGAGAATGTCTTGTCACATCATTACACAACCATATAAGACATATCTGTTTGAGGAGAGGGCCCAGTATTTATACGGTCTAGATTTCTCCATTTTTGCAAGTAGCTGTTGCCCCCACCTTTGCACATTTGCACAATCGTTGGACCACAGTCGCTCATTTACAAAAAAAAGGGTGCAGTTTTATTGCACAATTATTCCAGGATGTTCTTGAGACAATTGCAAACTAAAATGACAAGTTCTTGGCTAATTTTGACCTAATTAACTCTGTGTGACATTCATGCAATATGTATGAATGGTTGTACGTCTCATTTGTCTCGATATGTCCCTGTGATTGACTGGTGACAAGTCCAGGGTGTCCTCCGCCTCTCACACAGTGACTGCTGGATATGGGCACCAGTGACCCCCGTGACCCAAAAAGGAAGAAGTGAGTAAAAGATAAAGGATGGATGGATAGTTGGATGAATGGATGGATGGAAGTAAAAATTAAATTCAACTGCACGAGGGAGCGTCAGCCCAAAGGTTTATAACAGTGTGTAAGTGACAAGTAAAATCTTTCAATCTTCCTTTTTATTACTTATATTATCGTTTGCTGGTGAATTATTAGTTGTAAAGATGTTTCAGGTTGTTGGTCAACAGGTTTAGACAAATTCCAGTAGGGATTTTGGCCCACTTCTCGTAACAAACTCTGAGTGTGGTAGCTTCAGCTCCCTCCACAGGTTTTCCAGAGTGCTGAAGTCCAGAGACTGACACATTCCCTTCATAAACTTAAATTGTTTTAATTATTTATTTTATCCACGCCTTTTTCAGGTCTCTCTTGTAAATGAGCTCCCGAGGCTCAATGGGATTAACCTGTCTCAATTAAGGTTGAATGAATTGTTGTCTTGGTGGTATTTGTTTTGTCATAGTTGTCCAAAAAAAGTTAAACCAAGCAAAAATAAAAACACAACTGGACTTCTATTCTGAAGTTGAAGCTGTTTCGATTCCCATTCTTGAGACATTCTCATTTCAGTGAAGTCTGGCGAGTGTGGCGTTTACAACTGTTTGAGAAGCTCAGCTCTATATTCATATCAGACTAGCTTAAACTACATGTCCCTCACAACCTCAGGCAGGAGGTTGTGGAGCATTAAGTGTAGAACCACTAGACCGAGGAACAGCTTCTACCCTGAGGCTGTTAGACTCATGAATATCTAACCAAGATAATCACTGTGGGGGAAAAAAAAGTCACTGTAATGACACTTGATTGGTGACATGTGCTGCTGATTTATTTCATGCTGCTGATTATTTCATGCTGCTGATTATTTCATGCCTCTGTGTTCGTTCGTACTCATCTACTCACACAGACTCATGTTCGTGCTGCTGTTGTTCGGCATATTGTTTTGCACTATTAGTGTTTAGCGTATTTCTTAGTGTATATCTTAGATCCTTATTTACTATTTCTTTTTACACTTTATATTTTTGCTATTGTTGGATGTAACTGGAACCCTGAGTACACAATTTTGTTCCACCACATGTGATGCAAATGACAATAAAACCTACTTGAACTTAAAGTCTCTCCGCCTGTTTTTTATCCCAGATGTTTATTCTGGAAACCATCCATCCATCCATCCATCCATCCATCCATCCATCCATCCATCCATCCATCCATCCAGCCAGCCAGCCAGCCAGCCATCCATCCATCCATCCATCCAGCCAGCCAGCCAGCCAGCCAGCCAGCCAGCCAGCCAGCCAGCCAGCCAGCCATTTATTATCTTTACCCGCTTATTCCATTTTGGATTGTGGGGATCAATGGTGTCCATGTCCAGCCATTACTGTGTGAGAGGTGGGGGACACCTGGACAGGTTTCCAGTCCATCACAGGGACCATTAGATACAAACAAGACAAACAACCATCCACTCTTTCACCTAGGAACAAGTTAGAGTTACCAATCAGCCTAACATGCATGTTATTGGTCTGTGGGAGGAAACCAGAATACCAGGAGAAAACCCACACATGCACAGAGAGAACATGCTAACTCCACTCAGAAAGGTCCTTGGCTGGTATTTGAACCAGAGCAAACTGCTTTCTGAGAGGCAACAACTCTACCAACTGAGCCACTGTGCCGCCCTGTTCTGGAAACATTTATAAAAATTAAAAACAATTTCTTTGTAAGTGAACAAGTATACAAAATCAGCAGTGATCCAAAACTCATGTCCTTTACTGTATAAAGACAACAACTTGTTTGCTATAGTTGAAGTGGATTTTTTAAATTATGGCAAATGTATATCAAAAACCAACGGATGTCAGCAAGAAACATTAGACGTTTCTCTTTAGAATGACAAGGCTTGACTCTTACGATCTCTCCAGGCTTGACGTCAAAGGCGCCGTACTGCGCAATCTGCCCGTTGGTTTTCAAGAACTGGGCCTCAAAAGCCTTGGGTTTATCCTCTGCACGGATACTCATCTTAGACCGAATACTCTGAAATGGCACAAAAGCAGATCATGCAAGGTTTACTGGTCTTTTCACAAAACCACAGCAACGTGCCAACAACTGCAAGTGCGTACCTCAAAGGCAGTCTCCATGACTTGCAGGATGTTGGAGGAGTCTTCTTGAAGCAGACCGACCTCAGCGATGGGGAAATACTCTTTCAGCATCTGGAAACAACATGAAAAATAGTTCAGAGTTTATGATCCAAAAAAAAAAAGCACCATGTTTTTTTAGTATAAGTGGAATGATGGGTGTCCATTTACACTGTAATGTGTGTAGGAGTGGTTAGTGACGGCAAAGATGGGGATGATGTTGTGTTTCCCCAACAGACGGACTAGTGTGGGAATCGATGGGTAGTCCTGTTTTGTAGCTTCTGTGTATTTGCCCTCTGGGTCCAAGTGGCAGAGTTCATCATTGCGCTGCAGGATTCCCGAGAGAACGTTGATGCCGTCAGCCTCGTAGTGAAAGGCCGACTCGGTGGAGAAAACCAGAAGATGTGTGCTGTGTTTGCGCCAACCAATTTCATTCTGGAATAAAGACAAAACAAAGGAAAGCGATTAACCCAAAACAGATGGCTGCTACTGCAAACAAAGTCAGTAAAGTCCAATCTGTTACAGGGTTTTAATTCATTTTGCAGATAAGCTGCTTTAGGAAACTTCAGCTGAGCAAAGTTTATTATATTGGTTTAGTTTGCTCACCTCACACACAGCTGCCTGTAAAATGGCATCAAATCCTCCTTCAGGGGCGTCAAGGTTGCCTGATATTCTCTCCTTCTGCAGCTCTTGAATGAAGGCCTCTACGTTACTTGTCAGTTTGATGACGTTTTGAAAAGAAAACGGAGGGTCGCTATTGGGCCATGGCTTTTCAAGTCTGAGAGTCGAGGGAGAGTAGACAAATTAGAGCATTTACATTTCAGGTATGTTACATGTACAGTATCTGTAGCAAAAATACTAACTAACTAACTAACTAAGTAAGAAATTAAGTAAATAACTAGGTAACTAAAGAACAAAAGATTAAACTAAAGAACGAAAAAACAAAAGAGCATAAGAACCAAAGAACTAACTAACGAACAAAAGAACTAACTAACTAAAGAACTAACTAAAGAACTAAAGAACTATCTAATTAAAGAAATATCTAACTATCTAACTAAAGAACGAACTAACTAACTAACTAACTAACTAACTAAGAACAAACTAAAGAACGAAAGAACAAAAGAACTAACATTCAAAAGAACTAAATAAGGAACTAAAGAACTAAATAACTAACTAAAGAACTAACTAAAGAACTAACTAACTAAAGAACTAACTAAGGAACTAAAGAACTAATGAAAGAACTAAAGAACTATCTAACGAAAGAACTAACTAACTAACTAACTAACTAACTAAAGAACAAAAGAACTAACATTCAAAAGAACTAAATAACCAACTAAAAAACTAACTAGATAAAGAACTAAAAAACTAAATTCAAAAGAACGAACAAACGAAAGAAAGAAAGAAATGTCCACCTTAATTCAGCTCCAGGGTTTTACTTATCAGAACATGTTAAAAATGGTTGTGTTTGTTTTTATCAGAATTTGTCCTTTAATTGTTTTTTTTGTTTGTTTATCCATTTTTTACATTTTACTTTCTGTGTTTTATGGTATGGTTAGGTTCTGTTACTTGTGTTTTCATTTGTTTAGTGCTGGTGTATTTCTTTGTGCCACCAGCTACTTCTCCTCAGACAGTATTTTTTCCAGTCGGTCTGCCACACCCATCTCTGTCGGCCACAGCTGCAGACACTCCGCTCATCAGTTGCTGTCTTTGAGTCCTTCAGTTCTCACTCCTTCCTCAGTTGAGCATTACTGACCATCATATCACAGCCGGTCCTCCTTGTACCTATCTTTATTTCTTCAAGTCTCCTTGTGCCTTCAGTAGGTTTTTCAGTCAGCTTTGGTTCCCTGAAAAAATAAAGCTGATTTTGTTTTTTCCAACCCCCTTCTGCCAGTCTGCATTCCTTAGTTCAAATCCTCTTAAAACTGTGACATTACCAAGCTCTAAATAATGTAAAGCTGTAAAAATGTACAAAAACACATCAGTTTCCATCATGTCATTAATCTTTAAACAAAAACTAAACTGATGAAAGTTGTAAGTGAAACTTAAACTACCGGTAAGTCCACTCCACCATCCAGCAGCTCGTAAAACATCCTTCAGCAGCAAAAACTTCAGAAGTTGTTTTCTGTCTATCAGCTTCATATCGAAGAGGAAGTTTGGCCAACTCGTCTTTTCGACGTTTCTTCAGTTCAGTGAAGTTTGCAGATATTTTACACCTTTTTTGTTGTTGTTGTTGTTTTGTTTTTTGAATGTCCAGAGGACCAGATTTAACTTTTTTAGATTTTTCTACCTGGATTATTGAGCATGCATCAGGATATTTGCAGACATTTGTTTCTTCTCAGCTCGCACCACCGCATTTCGATCAGACCGAGGTCTGGACTTTCACTGGAACATTTTCTTTTTCAGCCGTTCTGTTTTTGATTAGCTGCTGTGTTTGGGATCATTGATCTGTTTCATGACCCAGTTTGGTCCAAACTTCAGCTGTCAGACAGATGGTGTCACATTTGACTCATTGGGTCCACAGAGGACTACATGGTCCACTGTAAGATCCTCAGGTCCTGAAGCTGCAAAATTAACCCACATTATCATCCTTCCACCACGTTATTTGACAAGTAAGTATGAAGAGTTTGAGCTGGAACGCTTTGCTTGGTTTTCTCCAAACATGCTGCTGTGCATTATGGGTGAACATCTTTCCTTTGTCCAGGGGGCATTGTTCAAGAGGTTTTGTGACAAAGTCATGCAGCCATGTTCGTTGTAGAGAGAAAAGGCATTCTCCCGGCCACCTTTCCAGACAAGTCATACTTGTTTAGTCTTTTTCAAATTGGCAGCAACAATTACTGATCTGAGGTCATAGCCGATGTCTTTCCTTCTTGGCATTGTGTTAACACACACCTGTGTGCTCCAGAGCAGAAAACTGACAAACTCTTGCTTTTATAGAGACAATCACACTGATAATGATCAGGTCATCAATACATTAAATCAACAGCTCCAGAAGTTTTAACCTCTTAATTACTGAGGTAACAGTGTGGATGGACTTAATATTTATATACACACACATTTGTCTTTCTATCTTTACAGGGACTTTGCATTGACTTCCATTCATTTTTCATTAATTACTATAGCCTAACCCTGACCCTTACCATAAACCTAACCATAAACCTAACCATAAACCTAACCGTTACCAGTACATACCTAACACTAAACCTAACCCCTAACCTACCAATGGCACTGCTCCTTATGGGGCCTGGGCTTTGGGCCCCATAAGAAGCAGTTGGTCCTCACAGTGTAGTATAAGTTGGAAAAATGGGCTTTACAAGGTAATAAGTACACAGACACTCGAGTTAGATTTAAATAATTTCAGAACCTGATAAAGACCGGATCCTTTTATGTTCCAACAAGTAAAACCCTAGATTTGACAAAAGGTGGTCATTTTATAACTTTTTTTCTGTTGTTTAAGGTTTTATTTCTTACTTGGAGGGTCTCATGTCAGTCTGGGGCTCGATCACTTTGTCTACAAACTTTCCAAACCCAATGGTGGGCTCGTTGGACATTTTCAGGACCAAAGAAGCTACAGAAAGACATTCACTATGAGTTCTACAGCTTACTTCACTGGAGTCATGCCAGCAGTCTGAATGTGCTCACCCAGATCGTTGCCCATTCGCTTCAAGTTGTCCAAATCGTCCTTCATGGAGTTTGAGAAGTCCATCAGAATATAAAGATCCAGAGGGCTTTTGGTCGGAGCAAACACTTCCACGTCCAGTAGTTTCTCCTCCCCGGGAAGAAATGTCATGCTCACTTGTTGTGGCGACACCTGAGACTGCTGATACTCCGTGTTAATTTTTATTTTCTATGAAGCAAGAGAGAGAAGAAGAAGAAAGGTTATTATTTTATTTAAGGCCTCTAAAACATTGTTAAGACAGAGGATGGATTAGAAATGATAATGGTGCTTACTTTCTCGATTTCCAAACTACTTTTAGCTGAGATGATGGTCGCCTCACTGCAGCCATGGGCAAGGATGTTCTTATAAAAGTCACAACGAGGACCGTTAAAGTCCTGAGAGAACACAGAATTTAATTAGTCCTGTAAACCTTCAGCTTTCACTCCTTCAGCTGTCCTCCTGGCCACACTTTCTAATCTCTCTTCTTCACCTCCTCTTCTCTCCAGAATATACCTCCACTTCTCCAGGCTCTCTTCCACCTGTTTCCTACTTATAACATATCACGATGTTGTCCCTGAACTTCATTGTCCAGGAGGACTCCTCGTTGACCTCATCAGTCAATCTGTTTGTCATCACTGTCTCACTGTCCTGTCTTACCTTTACCCTGTCTTACCCTCACATACAGGACTGGCCTAAGGTTGTAAAAGACAGAATCTTATTTGGAGGCCAAGTTGAACCACTACCATGCACAGTTCATTTAACACAACTATTTTAATGCACTGACATGTCTATTAGTTCCTCAAATTGACTACATGCCAAATTGAGGGGCATTATTTTTTAGGGGTTTCCATGCCCCCACCTGGTGGTCCCCCTGCTTTCTGTCTCACCTCTTCAGGGCAGTAGGCGCATCCTTCTCCCGCCTGAAGACACTCTGAGCAGGACTTGGCCCGGGAAGCGAAGCAGTAGTTCGCTGGTGGTGTTCAGTGGAGGGTGGTTGCATGGAAAGAGCGTCACAAAGAGTCAAAATCATGTACGTGTTCATTTAAGCTCATAATCCCATGAAGCACTGCTTTCCAACTCTTATGCAACAGAATATATATTGTCTTAAGATGAATATTTAGAACTACAGATAAATTGTGTAGCCTGTAAGTTAATGACCCAGAAACAGAAAACAGAAAGTTAACATTGCAAAAACTGTTACCTTGATTCTTACTTTACCTAAATGTGGCCCTAAAAAGTCAGTTAACAGATTTTTGTAAATTATTCTAATAAAAAATAGGACAAAAATCTGAATTAATTGACAGAATTATTTTAATAGGTGTAAAAATCTGCATCTCTTTTACATTATTTTTTAGGTCTGAATCAAACTCCTTTGATAAAAATTGTTTGCTAAATATATTTACCAAATCATTGTTATTGTATTGATTGTGTAATGAAAAACTCCTGGGCTTCACCTTCAGCGTGACAGCAGGCCAGAAGGATGGCTAGGAGGCCAAGTCCCACCAAGAGACGTAACGTCCATCTCCCCATCTCCCCCCTGCAAAAAACAAACAAACAAACAAAGTCTCTCTACAGAAAATACAACATTTTATCTATCTGTAACAGAACAATACATGCAGTCAGACCAGAAATACTTGGTCGTATTAATGCAAACTCAGGTGCAACTCAAACATCTTATGCTTTCACAGAATGTTTGTGGATTTATTGAGCAAAATTGACGATTTCATCCATTTCTTTTACAGGCTGTTCAGTCCCCATACAAGTGGTGCAGGAGTTTGATTCGCATTGCCGGTAGTGAGTTGGACCCCTTCAGGGCGGGAGATGGATTCCACCATTGCTGCCCATTGTTACCGATTCTGTTCATAACTTTTGTGGACATAATTTCTTGGTGCAGCCAGGGGTTGGAGGGTTTCCAGGTCGGTGGCCTCAGGATTCCATCTCTGCTTTTTGCAGATGATGTGGTCCCGTTGGCGTCATCGTGCCGTGATCTTCAGCTCTCACTGGAGCGGTTCGCAGCCGAGTGTGAAGCGGATGGGATGAAGATCAGCACCTCTAAATCTGAAGCCATGGTCCTCAGCCAGAAAAGGGTGGATTGTTCTCTTCGGGTTGAGGGTGAGGATCTGCCTCAAGTGAAGGAGTTCAAGGATCTCAGGGGTTTGTTCACGAGTGAGGGAAGAATGGAGCGTGAGATTGACTGATGGATTGGTGCAGCGTCTGCAGTATTGCAGACTCTGTGCAGGTCTGTTGTGGTGAAGAGAAAGCTGGGCTGTAAGGCAAAGCTCTCTGTTTATCATTCAGTCTATGTTCTTACCCTCACATATGGTCAAGAACTCTGGGTAGTGACCGAAAGAATGAGATCATGGATACAGGAGGTTGAAATGAATTTCCTCTGCAGGGTAGCTGGACTCTCCCTTAGAGATAGGGTGAGAAGTTTTGTAGTTATCCGGCAAGGTCTCGATGTAGAACCGCTGCTCCTCCACATCGAGAGGAGCCAGTTCAAGGTTCAAGTTTCTTTTTTGTCATTTGCATCACATGCGGTACATGAGGTGGAACAAAATTGTGTACTCAAGGTCCCAGTTACACCCAAACATAGCAAAAAAAGAATATAAAGTATAAAATGAAAGTGTATATGGATCTAAGATATATGCTAAACACTAATGTGACATAATGTTGTATATTAAACAGTAGCTTGAACATGAGTCTGTAGTGAGCAGATGGGTATGACTACAGCAGCTTAAAAGCAAGAAATCAGCAGCATGGATAATCAGCAGCACAGATAAGTCACATATCACCAATTAAAGTGGAATTACAGTGATTATCCTGGTTAGGGATTTATGAGTCTATCAGCTTCAGGGTAGAAGCTGTTCCTCAGTCTGGTGGTTCTACACTTAATGCTCCTCAACATCCTGCCTGAGGGGAGTGGGGCAAAAAGTGTGAGTGCTGGGTGAGTGGGGTCCATCATGATGCAGGTGGTCCTCTTCCTGCATCTGGAGGTGTAGGTGTCTGTGATGGTGGGGAGACTAACTCCAACATTTGAGGTGGTTTGGGCATCTGGTAAAGATGCTTCATGGGCGCCTCCCCAGGGAGGTGCTTTGGGCATGTTCAACTAGGAGGAGACCCTGGGGAAGACCCAGGACAAGCTTGATGGAGAGACACTCCCAATGGTGGTTTAATCCGATTACTTATGTCCATGTAAACATAGCTAATATTTCTCAGTTGGCCTGGGAATGCCTTGGTGTCCTCCTGGAAGAGCTGGGAGAGGTGGCTGGGGAAAGAATGTCTAAACCTCCCTGCTCAAGCTACTGCCCCCGAGACCAGACTTCAGAACAAGAGGAAGATAATGGATGAATGGATGGGTGGAAAATTGAAGCTTTTTTCCATTTCTTTCGCTCTCACAATACTGAATCAAAAGAAAATTTTGAGATTCACCAGAAAATTCTTGAAGACATTTTGATGGATGCCAGCCATCAGAATATGCTAAATCTATAGATGGGACTAGAAGCTGGAAGTTGAGGGCACCACAGATGAGCGCCCCCTAGTGGCTGGCTCCAGTCCAAGTTCTAAGCTCCGCCCCTTCCATTGTAACAAATGGTACGTTTACCTGACAAGCATATTGTTGATGATTAGTGTAGCTTTCATCTCACTGCTGAAAATTCAACCATGCGTTAAAAAATACTTTTAGTTGTAGTTAGTTATTTGAGGCTCAAACCAGTGTCATGTTATGCTATGACTGATGGTGTAGCAGCATGGTGGTGAGTTTGAACTTCAGTTACGAACATTAAAAAATAACAGAGTCATTTCTTCCATTTTCATTCATGTTGATGAAGCAACTGCCCCAAATTCCAACACGAACTTCAGTTTTGTAATAATCAATAAACCATATACGAACAGACCAGGATCAAAAGTAAAGTGAAAGCTGCTGCCAGTGGCTCATCAGGGTCACCATGGTAACCACACACACGCACCTGTCAGCACTCATAATGAGACAGGCTGTCAGAGATGTCAACTAGAAAATAAGCCTCAAACGAACGGTTCCTGTTTGAAAACTGTGTCTTTAAAAAACGTTTTTAATTCGTTAGTGGCTTAAATTTTTAGTCAAAGTGAATATTTTATGTGGTTTACGTAGAAGACAATAAAACCCTTGTTTCTAGTTTAGAAGAGATAAATTAGAGCTTAAATGTAGAGTTTGGACATGCACTCTGCAGGAATTTGAAGGACAACGTTGAAACTGTAGCAGTAAGAGACAGTCTAACATTCTGGGCTAAATTCTTCAAACTTCATGAAACTTCAACTGCAACCATCAATGAAATGTTAAAGACATCAAAATGCCTGTTTGATCATGTGAAGTCCAATGTTTGGTGTTTAAACTTTAAATGTGAAGTCTGAGGCCAGGGTCTTCTCTCGTTTCACCAAAAATCACTTGTTGTCTTGGAGGAATTGCTTTTTTTATTTACCGATATTTTTTTTGCAGATTTTGTCTCTTTTGCACATCATCCTGATACTTAAAGTCAAAGCACTCTACTCTGGAGTGAGATGCTTCTCTAAAACTGTGGGAAAAAATGTGTAATATATCTGCATTAAAAAATATGACAGATTTGGTTAGAGCTATAGTTGCTCAGCACACTGCTGTCAACCACCTGGAGCAGAAGGACTCCTACATCCGTATGCTCTTTGTGGACTTCACATCTGCCTTCAATACCATGATTCCCCAGACCCTGATGGACAAACTATGACTAATCCCAGGCCCCTCCGTTTGCAACTGAGCCCTGGACTTCTTAACAGACCACAGTCTGTGAGGATCCACAACTTCTCTTCCTCCACCATAACCCTCAGCAATGGCTCCCCTCAGGGCTGTGTGTTGAGCCCTCTCCTGTTCATTCTGCTCATATATAACTGTGCACCTACCCATTCAGGCTGTCATATTGTAAAGTTTGTGCAGACGATACAGCGGTGGTTGGATGCATCACAAACAACGATAAGTCCAGCTACAGGCAGGAGGTGGAACACCTGGAGAGCTGGTGCAGGAAGAACAACCTTCACATCAAGATGACGAAGGAGATGGTCGAGGATTTCAGACAGATCAACCACCCCCCCCCCCCCCCCCCCCCCCAAAAAAAAAAAAAAAAACTCTGAACATAGGAGGATCTGCGGTGGAAGAGGTCTCCAGCTACAAGTACTTGGGTGTACACATGAACGACAACGTCAGCTGGGGCAACAACACCACCAGCCTGATCAAGAAAGCTCATCAGAGACTCTACTTCCTCAGGCAGCTGAGACGAGCTGGTCTGTGAAGCTCAGTCCTCACTTTCTTCTACAGGTATGCAGTGGAGAGCATCCTGTGCTCCAGCATCAACATGTAGCATGGAGGCTGCACAGCTGCAGAAAGAAAAGCTTTGCAGAAAGTGGTGAAGGCTGCACAGAAGTCTGTTGGAGTCAGTTTCCCCACCATCACAGACATTTATACCTCCAGATGCAGGAAGAGAGGCTCCTGCATCATGAAGGACCCCACTCACCCAGCACACACACCTTTTGCCCCGCTCCCCTCAGGAAGGAGGTTGAGGAGCATTAAGTGTAGAACCACTAGACTGAGGAACAGCTTCTACCCTGAGGCTGTTAGACTCATGAATCTCTAACCAGAATAATCACTGTGAAAAAAAAAATCACTGTAATGCCACTTTGATTGGTGATATATGACTTATCCATGCTGCTGATCTCATGCTGCTGATCATTCATAGTGCTGCTGATCTCATGCTGCTGTATTCATTCATATCCATCTGCTCACCACAGACTCATGTTCAGGCTGCTGTTGATACGCCGTGTTGTTTTACATTATTAGTGTTTAGCTATCTTTTAGCGTATATCTTAGTTTATATCTTACTAGATCCTTATATACTGTTTTTTAATTTACTTTATATTTTGCTATTTTAGATGTAACTGGGAACCTGTGTACATAATTTTATTCCACCTCATGTACCACATGTGATGCGAATGACAATAAAGTTGGTTTGAACTTGAACTAGTTTTATTTTAATGAAGTTGCTGAGTTGCAGTATGAACATGTTGCCACACCTGGAGTAGAGTTTGTGGTTCTCTTCAGCTCCAGTTGAGGCACGATGCAACAAGACAAGAGGTCCGACACAGGGTGGGACCTGGACTCGTTCCAATAAACCCACTTTATAATTTAAAGCTGAATCGCTGGATAGAGGACCTTCTGATGAACAGAAAGAGGCGACGCCTCTGTCAGACACACGAGCTGAAAACAGACCCGCCGTGTGGTCACGTCTCTGTCATTGTCTCTGTGGGCAGCTGCAGTTTGAAAACTGAAGACGAACAACTCCAAGATTTTCTCCCACAGGCACGAGAATAACCCGTCCAAGCTAAAAATACGTCCTGAAAACACACGGGAACGGCCCTTTAACGCCTCTCTGAGAACTACAGGTGTGTGTGTGAGTCTGTGTGTGTGTGTTGGTGGTAGAAGATCATGGCACAAAATGTCACATAAATCAGTGTGCAGAGTGCGTCAGAGCAAACAGAACAAACTAAACCTTCTTCTACAAATCTGATTCTGACTCGGTCTATGGGTGAAGGGCACTTCTTGTATTTTCTGGTATTTTTTTTTTGTATTTTCTTGAACAAAACGCCAGTTTTTGTCTCCAAACAGCACCTGCAGTCGCTCACGCTGCCTCACTCTGTGCTCCAGAGAACAGACGAGATCTTTCACTGAAGGCCGTGGCTGTTTCTCATCAGACGGTAACGGGCCTGCCAGGTGAGCATACCTCCACGGGGTGTGGAGGGTCCGACCCTGTCGTGACGCCATACGAAGGGGGAGGAGAGGAGGGGCGGGGGTCTTCTTTAATGACAGGTTGAACGGTCAAACTTTGACAGTGACAACAACAACCACTAAAAAACACCTTTGTCTTTTTAATTATCACTGTGTCACACAACAAACTGCACGTGTTACCTGAATGGTGCATTTGATAAAGTTACAGCTTAAATAAAAGTTCAGTCCACAGAGGGTAGACATATTGCACACACAGATACCTGTGACAGCTCTGTGACTACTTTAAGAGGACAACTCTTCTGAAGGTGCTCAACTCAGTGAGGTCTTTAGTATTTTAAATGTTCAGCCTGTTCACCAAGACTTGTTGGTTTCAACATCACCTCTAATCCTTTCTAACTGTCTGTTGTGGGTTTTTTAACTTTTTTTTTTTTTGATGACATCAAAAGACAAACTGGCGAGCTCACGTGGCCCCTTGTGGCCCTCAGGCCATGTTTTGTTTAAAGCTGTTCCCTTCAGCCTGAAGTCACAGTTTTGAAACAGGCTCAGAGAAATGTTGCAACCCTCAGAAGGACGAGCTCCACCGAAGGGCAGCAAACACAAAAGGAAACTTCTGAGCAGATCCAAGGAGATTACTGATCAAACAAACCTCTCAGAGAGCCTTCGCTGCGTCCAGGTCCAAAAGTCCAACACTGAAGGAGAAAGAACAAACTTCCTCTTCTGCCTGTTTACACCTGCGCTGGAACAAAGACGATTCTTTTTCTTCTTTCTGTGTCCAAGTTCAAAGTCCTTCAAAAAAAAAAAAAGATTAAAAAAAAAAAGTTTGCAGCTTTCTTCCAGATGTCTCGTTTTCCTCCTGTGCTGTGCCGTCCGGTCAAGTATCCATGTTTCTGCCCTGAACTCTGCTCAGTGCAGAGTGAGTCTCTCTGTGTGTGTGTCTGTGTGTGTTAGAGAGTTTAAAGTGAACACTAAGGAGAGAAAGGCAACACACTGAGGCTGAGAGCAACTGAGAACAGAGCTGAGACTTGATCCCTCCTTTTAGCTCCTGCACACACACACACACACACACACACACACACACACACACACACACAC